TAAAAGATGGATTGGAAGAATGCACTGTGTATAAGAAATTTTATTTGTCAGCTTAAAAATATGGCATGGGGAACTAAGTGTGTTCTTAAAAAGGAGCTTTGGCATGTATTTTGAAGCCATTGCCACCTATTTGGACAAGGCATTTCAGAAGTTACAGGGAGAAAAATGAGATTTCACTCAGCATGCTGGGGATTGTGCCCCAAGGCTCATGGTGGCAATTTCTTGAACCAGATGTTGTGTTGTGGTGCCACTGTGCTGCAGATAAAGGGGAGTCCGAACGGGCTATCTCAGGAAATGTGTTCGAAATGTGTTCAGTATGGTCGATTCATGATTGTTGGGAGCTGGGCTTAGTCTATATGTGTAGTTTGTTTTTAAGTTACAGTTCTTTTGTCAATCCTGGGATATAAATAAACTCAGTTCCTCTGGTGCCTCATTCCCAAAGGATGCAAAAAGTATCAACTAACTCCAGTAGGAGACTTGCTTTTCCCAGCCCTTCTAATCAGCTTCTCACCATTTGGGGACACAGCAGCTGGCCTTTTTTTTTTTTTTCTTACCCCTTCTAACAGCTACAGCAGTGTCAAGGGAGGGAGAGGAGCAGACCTCTTACCTTACTCCAAAAGTGAAAAATTAACCCTTTCACTTTCTTGCCAGAGAAATGCACTCCCGCCTAATCACAGCAATCCACAGACATCCTAGTGCATTTGGTTTACTTCAGACAGTGACATATTTGAGGGAATGCTTTGAACATCTTGAATGTCTTTAATTTACCAAGGTGATAGGAAAGCAGGTGGTGCATTGTTCAACAATTGAAGATATGACTTAGTACAATAATTACGTGTTTTGCTGCTGTAAATGTATTTTAATTATTTTGAATTAACATCAGTTAAAACCACCAAGGCAACTAGTTAAGAGCTGTGTAAATACATTTATTGCTTTGTAGACTGTTGCAGGTTTTTAGCTGAAAGTCCAGGTATCGGTAGGTGGCTCAGGCATTGCACAGATTTTCTGTGTCTTGGATAAACCATTTAGTCTCACTGTCACCACTTTCTTCTCTTGTTGCTAGCCAATTTGTAAAATACACTGTAAGAAGTGAAGTGCTTTGATCTATTTATTTATATGGAGTGATTTGGAGCAGAGATCACTTTTACAGTGTATCCTGGAAGCATATTTGCAAACCCATTCTCTCCTCCAGATGAGCAAACACTCACAATATGATCTTCCAAGAGGATGGCATTGCAGCAGATAACTCTGTACATAGCCAAATAAAAGATGGCAGCTTTCCATATGTCACCTTTCTAGAGGTAATCTAATTAGACTAGAATTAATTATGGATATGCAGGTTACACAGCGCATCCATTGCCCTGATTGCATAACCCAGTCTCTAAAGTTGTCAGAAGAAAAGGAGCCGAGCAGTTAACAGCATGGGAATTGTTAAGACTGTGTTGCCCAAGAATGAACTCTTTAGGAAATTAAAAAGTAATGCATTTCACAAATTACTTGTACTTACTTGTATTAGTAAGTACATCATAGACTTCCAAAGAAGGAGAATAGCATTCAAGAATAACTTACCAGAAGCATACAAAGGAATCTTAACAGTAAAGAAGAGGTTTGTTAGATATCAAGAAAACAGCAAGAAACCTTGAGTTAGTTGAATGCAGTCTTTAATTATTTATATTTTTAATGGAATATAATTTAAAAAACCAACATGAGCTGTCTCTGGCAAATTGATTTTTTAAAGCATTTAATATCATTTGGGCTCCTCACTTTTATCTGTGTTATTTCTTCCTTTTATTCCTGCAACACTTTCCCCTCTGTCTGTGCAGATCAGAGTAGCTGTCTTCTGCAGAACAGCAATCTCATTTTGTTTACCTTGTGTTTCCAAGAGAATTGAACAAGCCCAGGATTCACCTCCTCTAAACAAATACTTGCAAGACAAAGGTATCTCAGCTATTCTAAGGACAAGAGGTTTGTTGAGATGGAGAACAGTAAAGACTAGCAAGGAAAAAAAGTCAATGTGTTTTTATCTGAAAAAAAAAAAAAGTTAATCCTTTGCGCAGCCTCATTTTCTTTGCTTTTGAGATAGCTCTCCTTTTTCATTTAAGTTTTAGAGTTTTTCATCCAAAGGAAGCAAGAAACCGAGGTATTTTCTTTGTTCCTGTCAAGTAGCTCGAACAGTTTGAGAACAGAAACCAGTCAGAGCAGTGTGATTAGCGTAGCCAATTAGGGTGGATTTGCATATTCACAACACGGCTATCGAGAAATAATTCTGCAGAGATAATGCAAGCGTGGCAGCGCCTGTCTGCCAATCGGAGCACCCTGGCTCCCGTGCTGGATGGTAATTGAGAAATAACCGTGCAGTGATCCTGCAGATTGGGCACCCCGCGCCAATCCACATGCTGGCACTGCGCAGCTGGGGAAGAAAGTGCGTTTGCAAAGCAGTCGCTGTACGATACCCCTGCACGCTGGAAAAGGTTAATCTACACTCCATTTACATAAAATGCAACAGCATCTGTCAAATGAGTTGGTTCTTCTAAGATTATTTCCAGCTACAACTTGTGCTAGCTGCCACTTTTGGGGGCCCAACCTCACCAGGAGTCTGGGGGATGTGGCTTTTAATGAGGTGGCAGGCGGCCGAGCCCTGAGTGTCCCATGGCTCCTCCGTCCTTCAGTTCAGCCAGGTACAGGGTATGAGGTGCAGGTGAGCTTTGCACAATAGCCCAAAGGTTGAGCCATAAAACCCTGCTTGTTTTTGCCCCATCATCGGGGTGTTATCCAACAACCAGGCAAGAAAGCAAACGGCCTTGCAAGGAACGTCGCAGGTTCTGCTGGATAAAAGACCGGGGTGGCTGATCACAGCAGCTTTATTATCTCTGAAAGTGAAAAATCACCTTATATACTATAGTGACAACAATCTGTGCTCCCTCTCTGCATTCCTCTGGCTCCCACTGCTCTTCGGCTCATACCAGCAACCATGTTGCTGCAGGCATGTGGGCGAGCACAGGGCAGAGCGCCCTGCTGCCCCGTGCCCACATAATCTGCATCTTCAGGACACCGTTTGCTGATCCAGGGGCTGCCAATTCCCTCCCTGCAGTGTGCAGCAGCCACGTGTGCTGATTTTAGAAAGACTGATGGTGATGTTTGTCCGCAGTACTCCTGACTTCTCTGGTGACGGGGCTGAGGCCTTGATGTTGAGTCATGGCGGGGCAGTCCGAGGCCTTCTCTCAGGTACAGCTCCACAGGCCACGGGCACTTTCAGAGCTGCTAAGGGAAAGACAACTCCACAAAAAAATGAGCTTGTGGGTACTCAGGGCTACGAGATATCAAGGGAAACTTAAAAAAAAATAAAAATCCCTAAAATTAGACCATTGCACAAATCATAAGATTATAACCTGGTATCATATCTAACAGGATAAAGACCATGAGCTCTCAACCTCTGTGCCACAAAGAGACATTAGGCACATTTAGTTGGGTAGAAATGTCTCCCTCAAGAAAGATATATATTTTATAATAACCCATGATAGGGATTTTATACCCATCTCAAGAATACTCACCACTGGTTTATCTACTCCACTAACTTACGTAAGATTTTTTTTTTTTTTTTTTTGTAATGGCCTCCCTTTATGAATAACCACAATCATCTCTTTCCTTCCTATCCCCTTTGTGGCACAAGCTTTTTATTAGAAAGTTAATAAACTTTGTGTATGTTCTAAAGATAATATTGAAAACTGCAAAACTGTGTTCTGCATTTTATAATTGGTGTGGAAAAAAGGGGGAGATCTAATCCAATTGGGTCTTCTTTGCTCTCTTTTGCTCTCTCTCTCCCTTTTTCCCCTTTGATGGTAAGCAGCAAATTTTAATTAGCTTCATTTCCACAATTCAGTCATGCATATGTAATCTTTGTTCACACTTTTATAAAGTAAAATTAAGTGAAAGAAATTGGGTAATAATAGAAAGCTTGTCTGAGCAGAACAAATGTGAATTATCAAACATAAGGAGAGATGACTGGGAATACAGGGCTTGAAGTTGTGCAAGGTTTGAGGTGTTTTTTTTTTTTTTTTTTTTTTTTTTTTTCTGAAATAGGACTGCATAAATAATGCATAGGAACAGGTGCTGATTATCCTGTTTTGGGCATCTTTTGTTCATTATGTACTTGGGCTGCTGAGGTACAGTGATAACCAGTGAATGTGAGGAGACTGCTTAATAACAGCTTTCTAATGTTTCTCTTTTATTACAAGCTGAAAGTGTCACATGAGCTTGTCTAGTTAATAAAAATCACTTTGTGAACCCACTGTTCTTAGATTTGGTATTGGAACAGATCACTGTATTGGGCCTCTCTTGATTATAGCTGCAAAAGCTGGTCTGCTGTTTTGCATTGTAATTTAAAGGTTTCCTAATCCATATACACACCCTCTAATTAAATGTTTCCAGGGGTTACCTTGGGAGCCTTCAGTGCTATGGTTTGAAACTAAAACTAAAGAGTGCATTAAATTCATTCTCCCTGGGGTGAGACACAGGAGAGGGAAGTACATTTTCATCCCCTGCTACTCTTGATTATTAGAAAGCACCAGCATGGTCGGGACTGCTAACTTCACTATTTTTGTTATCTAACATGAGAAGATGGAAATTTAAAGGGAGACGATCAATATGTTTATATCTTGTTCAGCTTATCATTTCTGAAGAGATTCATCATCAGCAATGAAAAACCAGAACCTCCTGTTGACGTAAATGGATACATGGCCACAGAAGCTGCACAACAAACACTGCTGCACCAGACGCTGAGATCTTCACTAAAGGTAATGTAAAGTAGTGAAGCATGTTGGTGTCACCACATAGAGAAGTAAAGTTAATGGTTAATGGTTAATGTTAAACTCATGAGCAGATACTTTCTCTTCAGCGCCTGTGCACACACACTCAGCCTCACCCCACCAACCTAACAGGTCTCAGGGAAACACCTCTTTTTGTCCCTGAGAAGGAGCTCCTGTTACAGGAAGTGTTTCAGACTTGGGAGTTTCTTTTTCTTTTTCTTTTCTCTCTAAGCGTGCTTTGCTATCAGTACATAGGGATAACCAAGATTTAGGTTAATGGTTAACAGACCAGTGATAACCACATAGAAACTCTGACTTCCTCCTGCTGTGGTCAGGACAGAAAACTGCCTTCACTCACAGAAGAGGCAGGAGCTGAAAGGAGTGCAGTTCACAGCGCAGAGGGCTGGAGTATGGCAGCTTTGCTACAGATTGGTAAGAGCTAAGACACTTTCTCTCCCACTCAGATTACTGACTCAGCTGCTGTTGCTTACAAAACCCACAGGTGTGTCTAGTTGAGACACTTTCATAGTACCTGATTGTTCTGACCTGTGTGTCTTGGTGAAGAGGGCAAAGCAAGAAAGGATCTATTTTCTGTCATTTTGGACATCAGGGAGGCTCTTCTTCCCTCTTCATCGTTCCAGGGGCTGCTCATGGAAGGACAGACATCCTCTTCAGACTGTTTTCATCGCATTAACCACACTCATATCCCAGAGTTTGAGGTGTCTCATTGGATCAAGATCACTATGGCCTCTCTTGACATCTGCATCTTTGTAGCAGGCATCTTGGGCAACAGCATCACCATCAAGGCCACCAAGATCCTGCAGAAGAAAGGCTACTTGCAGAAGGAGGTCACGAATCACATGGTGAGTTTGGCCTGTTCAGACCTGCTGGTCATCCTGCTTGGCATGCCTGTGGAGTTCTTCAGCGCCATCTGGAGACCTTTTGGCACCCCAAATGGCAACGTGGCTTGCAAGCTCTACTGTTTCCTTTTTGAAGCCTGCAGTTATGCCACCGTGCTGCATGTGGCCACCCTCAGCTTTGAGAGGTACGTGGCTATCTGCCACCCCTTCAAGTTCAAGGCACTCTCCGGACCCCGCACAGTGAAGCTGCTCATCGCCTTTGTCTGGGTGACATCTGTCATCGTGGCTCTGCCCCTGCTCTTCGCCATGGGCACAGAATATCCCCTGGAAATCATCGAGGGCTACGAAAGTACAATGGGCTGCATGAAGCCAACTCCCAGGCACCAGTTACCCGCTACAGACAACATGACCATCTGTACCAGCCTCTCCTCCAAGTGGCCTGTTTTTCAGGCCAGCATCTTCACTGCTTTTGCTGTGTACATCATAGTGCTGGGGTGTGTCACCTTCATGTGCCACAGCATGATGAAGGCCCTGAAGATCCACAAGAAAGGAACTGTGGCGGTGAAAGGTGACCTAGGACACCAGGAGCAGTACCTAAGGAAAAGTGAGAGCTCGGAGGGCAAGAGCTCCAGGAGACAGATCACTCTATTCCTGGGTAAGATCCCTCTTCTACTCTGCCTCTTCTACCCTGCCCCTTTCCCACAAAGGAAGGAAAACCAGAGGCCTGCATCTTGCCTCGCCAAATTCCCCCAAATGAGGGATGTATTGTTTGACACTGGTCCGAGATGGAGAGGCATACTTTTGGTTGCAATGACATATTTAAGAAACCTGATTTCTCTGCATGTTTCTGACCATTTTTGTTGTTAGAACAGGTGGGAGGGAAGACAAAAGGAAAAATCCATTTACTGTCTAATATTTATGTTGCCTGATTATACTGCATGTCTACGTGCAGCAATAGTGGTAACAGGATGTTGCTGCTTGACCTTTGTGGTAGCAATAGCCACAGCTGCCTGGACATAAAGTAGCTCTACTTGCATGTCTTCCCATTAAATTACAAATACATGCATATTTAGTAAGGCCCTTAATAAGAGGGCAGACTGTCTTGCAAGATATAAAGCTTGTCCCGCTCTGAAGGCATGTCCCTGTTAACTGGGGATGCTCCCTGAAGTGCACTGATTTAGCTTTCCGTGGCTGTGTTGCATCCGAGCATTGAGGGAGCTGGGCTGGGCAGCTGATCCGGTCTTGCAAATTGCCGTTGCCCTTTTTGATTTTTTTCTCGGTTTTATTTGAAGGCCTATAACCTTGGAATTATGTTTGATTCTGATCTCTCTTGCCACATTTGTCAGACAGAAACTAATCAAGCTGTCATTTTACCAACTTGGACTCTTTCCAGGCAGTGATGCATGCAGTCTCCACATTTGTTGATGCTCTTAGAGGTACCCTTAATCATGTCCTGGCTGAATTACAGCTAGTTCTTGTTTTGTTGGGTTGCTTAATACGATACCGGGTATAATAAATGAACCATCTTGTGTAGGAATGCACAGCAGACCTAGGATTCCTGTGTTGATTTTTGATGCTCTGCTTGATATTGCAGAGGGGGAGCTGAAACTTGTGGATCTGCCCAATTCTAGAGTTTTATGTTGATGGTGATGACTTGAGAATCCCTTGCTTCCTCAGCTAGTCCTGCTTCTGCCCTGGTCTGGGGCAGGGAAGGGTGTAGGGCAAGGAGTCCAGGGTGCAACCAGCACCTTTTCTGCTGCAGGTGTGGTGGAAACCTGTCAGACAAGGCCTGTGACTCAGGCATGGGGACAGGCTGGAGCTGCGTGCTCTGCCTGCCGTCACCCTCCAGATGGGAGACGTGACGCTGCAGGCTGTGCACGGCTCTTCCGCGTGCCCAGGGTGCACATCTGAAGAAGAAATCGTCTCCTCGCACAAGGCATCTATTAGTCAGGGACGAGAGCCCCCGTATCAGGATGATTAAAAGGGCTCTTGATACCTGAGTCCACCAAAAGTACTGACTTCTGGGCTGGAAGCTTAACAGCTGAAGCTAAATGCAGCATGTTGCACAGAGCTGAAAAAGGGATAAGGCTTTGCTCTTTAAGTTAAGTGCTACTGTGGGATCCTTAAATGTCTGTGGATCTCGCTCTCCTTGTAAATTATCACCCACAGCTACATTAAAGTCCAGTCTAAGATCCAAATCCTGTAGCAAGTTCTAGTCAGGTTGAGAGGTGAAGGTAAATTACTGCGGCTTTTCTTCCCCTCCTTGATTATTTTTCTTGCTTGCTGATAGTCTAGTGTGGAGTAGGGCAGACCCGTTGCTGCTTGCAGAAGTGTTAAAAAAAAAAATAAATGAAAGGACAAGCGAGTTGCTTTATCTTACGGGAATTTGCCACCGGTATCTGACGCTTTCTCTGCTCTCAGCTTTCTGGAGCTGGTAGACACTTCTGTGAATCCCCTGAAATGATTTCAGTGGCGTATTTTAAATGGCTCTTAATATGAGTCTTGCTAATTAACTTGGGTTGGGAAATAAATTAATAAACTGAAGAGGAAGAAACTGTGGCTTGCATCCCTGAGAACAATGCAAAGCAATTTAATTTGGAGATTTCATAAGAGTGATGCTTTAGGGCAGTTTTAACCCAGAAGAAATGAACATATAAATTGTTTACAAATTGCTGAATTTAAATATAGTGATTTAGAAGTCCTCTTTGTTTTTCATTTAACAGATGGGTCAAATTAAAACAAATATTTGCTCATTTACAACATATTTCACTTTTAATGTGAAATGTAAATGACAGCATATAGCAAGATGTCTTCAAACATCTAACAGCAATAAAAACAATTTAGCATTTTCTTCTTCTAGTTGTTAAAAGTGATAAGTTCTCCAAAACGGAGATTAAATTCATAAATCTCTTGACGATGAGAAAAAGCTAAGTGGAAAGAGACACAAGAAGGAACTGGTGCTTTTTTAGTGTCATGTTATTGTGAAGCACTCGAGAAAATTCATGAAAACAAATTGTAAATGTTGAAAGACTGTGTGCTGTGGGAGGCACTGGTGCTTGCAGGATGAGCCCCGGCCGGGCTGACACCACAGCTGGGGTGGAGGAGGAGGGGGATGAGAGGCCAAAAGAGGAGAGCACATGGTACTGGGCAGGCTGAGCATGAGGGGAATGGGTTTCTTCCAAGGGGGTGTCTGCAAGGGTCCAGTCCTTTGGTTTAAATCCTGGAGAGGCTGGTTTGAGGGTTGAGGTCCGTGGGGTAGGGATGTCTGACCCTAGTGTCTCTGCTGCCCTCACCATGCCTGTGGTGGAGAGGAGAGACTGGTGCAGCAGTCGCTGTAATTCTGCACCTGGTGATGGAGAGGGAGCACTTCCAGGGGCTGTTCGGCTCAAATTTTGGGATTTGCCCCGGTGGGGGAATACAGATTTGTCCCAGTGTTTTGGAGAAAATCAGTTCTGTTTTTTAAACTAGGCTGTGCAGTGCTGCTCTTTCCAGGTTCTTTCCCATTATTGCTGTTGGCTTCGAGGAAGATATGATGGTACATGTAAGGAGGCTCTGCTTAATGCTCCTGCTCCTGAAATTAGGCTTGTGGGGCTTCAGAAAGCCTGGGGCAAGCTTCCTGCAATCTCTGTGCATGTGATTTATTTGATCATCTGAGTGAGGTGGTAAAACTCCAGTGCCTCCAGTGGCTCAGCCCATCCATATGAGCAGGGCAGATCAGACTGGGTGACACGGTGTGGGTTTTCCATAGCTGTTAAAGCAGCTTTGCTCATGTTGGGACAGCAGATCTGTCTTCTAGTGAAGGGCAGCATGGGTCTGCTTGAGTGTGGGCGACTCAACAGCAAGGAAAATATAGCTGGACTTAATTTTTGAGTGGCTCACGGCAGCACTTGATTATAGAAGTTTCTCCACCTCCAGCAGCAGAAATAGAACAGGTAAATGTGCTTATGAAAATACTGGGCGGATGGCACTTTGATGAAATGCAAGTTTTTAATAGTATTTAAAGCCTCCTAGTTCTCAGCCCACCGTGACACTCTTGTCTTTGTGCTGGGGCTGTGAAGGGCCAGACGGTGATGAGAGAGATACCTAAATGGTCACAGGATGATGCTGGGGCCCTCTGGCTGCTCCAACACCCGAGCTGAGGCACCTGCCCCCATCAGGGAGCTCTTGACAAAGGGTGGGTTTGGGGACTTCGGCTGGGTCACAGCAAAGAAAGGGAGGGAATGTGACAGAAGGGTCCTGCAAAAGGGAGACCCAGCTAGTGCAGGAATTATTAACGTTAGTAAAAGAGGGCACTTCCATAGCTGAATCTATGTCAGTTAAAAATCTTCAGGAATCATTAACTTAATCGCTAATCTCCAGCAGTCGTTAAGGGGAGCCGTGTGGGACAAGGCCCTGTGCCAGCCACCGGCGGGGCGCACCTCAGCAGCAGCAGGCCCGTGCCAGCCATGCGGGTCTTGGCTACTTTCCTTCTAATCCGGTCACTGATATAAGGCTGCTCTTATGCAAAAGCACCTGTGTGCTTAGATCAGACTGGCCTGAACTTGTACTCAAAAATGAAGCGAGTTTTGACTGTCCCAGATGGAAAATTTACCACTTTTGAAGCTTCTGTGGTATTTCCCTTGCCAGCTTCAGTTTTGTGCTTCTGCTGAAGGCTTTAATTATTTTGTATAAAGCAGCCTCGGGCCTACCACGGTAAATACATTGAAATTGAAAAGTCCTTTAGTGTTGCTATATGCACTGCTTTTCTTTGTTATGAGCTTCCAGCATGCCCTTCAGAGCAGCGCTCCCCTCTCTCTGCAGCAGAGGGGCTGCAAGGTGCTGGGGGCACTTTGCTGCCTGCCTGCCAGCATCCTGGCATGCTTTTCTGTCTCCTGGCCACCACGAGATGTCCAGCCATCCCACCTCTCTCTTCCAGAAGAGGGAAGGATCAGAGTAATCCAGCTGCTATGAAATTGTTGCACAGGTCATAACCAGTGGCAGGGCCTCTGTCTGAGAAAGGCATTGTGGTGGCTTTATTTATATTTTCCTTTTGTCAAATGCTTTAATATGTTTGTCAGATACACAGAGTATCAGCTTGAAGAAGGTAGCAGTGTTGGTTTCGTGTGTTATGGTATGGTACAGGTAGCTTCTGATCTGTTTTATGGAGTAAAAGAAATTAGAGGCTTTGCTGAGACTCTGGTGAGTTCCACAGAAGGAAAGGCAGTCCCTCCTGCTAAATCCAAATACAATGAGCAAAGACTGGAAAAGCTAGAGGTGGTGGCTGTTAAAATGATGGAGGCTATTCTATCACACTCCCAAATGCCACTACAAACACCATGGACACAACTGAACCTGGCCATAAGCTAAAGACAGATAAAACATTGAGTCAGAAATTAAAAAGATCTCTTGGAACTTGAGCTGGATCACTGTTTTCTCCCCCTGATATACTACTGCTGGCAGATTAATATTTTGCTCAGAATAAAGGTATTGTGTGTAGAAATAGCCTTTCCAAAGATCACTAAGGAAATGTATTCTGCAAGGCACTTGGCAATTGGATTTTCAGGAGGACAAATTACTTCAAGTACTCTGCAAAAAATACATGGTTGTCATCTAGAGATGACTCAGGCACTGCATAGCTTGACAGTGGTAGGACTTTTGTTACAGGAAAATTAGATG